GGGGGGGGGGGTGACAGGGGTGGAGAGCAAAATTATGGTGTCACAAAGTGAATGGTTAAGCATCTAGAAAAAATAAAAGCCAATAAAATTTTCACAGTTTTTACACACTGTGTTAACTACAGCCTGGTTTCTTGGAAAATAGAATAGCAGTTAGAAGGCTAGGGCTCTAATACTGAATACATCACTTATAACTGATGGGTGACTTTGATGGAGAAATTTGCCTCTCTAAATTTCAACCTCTTCTTTGGGAAAATATGGAGATTATCTGCCTATGATATTGTGATTTGTTATTAAAAATGTGTGTGTGTGTATATATATATATATATATATATATATATACACACACACACATATATATGGTTTTCGTCCCTATTTCTAACAAAGAGCACCTAAAACTCTTGGAATTGTCTGTGGTGAGAGATAAAGGTATCTTTTGTTATGTTAATGAGCTAACTTGGAACCTTACCTAAATATGGGTAGTTTGCCAGTGGAGCCAACCTTGTGATTAGAGGGTTGGAGATTGAGCTCAATCATAAGGGCCAATGATTTAATCAATTGTGTCTATGTAATGAAGCTCCACAAAAACCCAACAGGACATGGTTCAGAGAGCTTACGTGTCGTGTGAACATGTGGCAAGTTGGGGAGAATGGCTCACTCTGAGAGGGCCTGGGAGCTCTGTGCCCTTCCCCCGTATCTTGTCTTACGCATCTCGTCCATCTGGCTGTTCCCGAGTTATATCTTTTTATAATAAACTGATGATGTAATAAGTAAAATTTTTTTCTGAGTTCTGTGAGTCATTCTAGCCAATTAACAGAACCCAAGCTGGGGGTTGTTGGGACCTCTGATTGATAGCCCAGCTGATCACAAGCACAGATGACACCCTGGACTTGAGATTGGCATCTGAAGTGGAAGTGGCTGTCTTGTGGGACTGAGCCCTTAACTTGCGGGATCTGACACTATCTCCAGGTAGATAGTATCGAAATTGAGTGAAATTGTAGGACACCCAGCTGGTGTCCAAGAATTGCTTGCTGGTGATATGGAAACCCACTCACCCCTACCCTGTCTGCGCTGGAAATTGGTTTTATGACACCTTTTACTGCCTTCGCCAGGTAAGGTGACCAGCTGTCCTGGTTTGCCTGAGACTGAGGCAGGGTTCAGTTTTAAAACTGGGACAGTCCTAGACAAACTGGGATGAGTTGGTTTCTCAAGCTTGGGTTGTTATAAGCCTCATATGATATAGTACATTTAAAAAGTGTCAGACACATATAAAGAACATATGGTTCAACTCCTGCTTTCCTTGGTGCTTTTAACAGTGCTCTTGAAAATAACCACATGGCATTACTTTAAAAGCAGTGTACAATTTTGGCTTTTCTCATCTCTCTTTATTCAGACCTTGTGAAACTTAGACTGTATGTTAAAAGTTAGGAACATCTGTGATAACAAGCATGTCCTTTTAGCACATACACACATGCACAATAATTTTCCTGGCAAAGAGTGAACTCATCTAAAGACAGTTTATAAACCCAACTTAATAAACTGCTTTTAGATGAGCTAATTCGTTGGCAGGAGGTTAATACTAAGACTGGCCTTTATGGCATACTTTGATTAATTCTGATGTTCCTCATGAAGTATTAATCCTTAACATCTATAAAAGCTACAGATTCATTTTAACTTTCCCAGAAAGCCTCTAAAGTCATTTATGTTCTGGTGAGTTCTCCAAGGAAAACAGCGTGTCCAAACAAGGAGAATTCCATGCCAATAAGTCCCTTTATCATTTTTAGAGAAATAAGAACTTTGAAAGAGGTTTGTAAAAAGACTTTTAAGATTGGGTTAGGTCATAGAATGAGGACACATGAATATTCTTTTTATCTCCAGAATATCTGGACTGAGGAGGAACCAAGGAGGTACCTCTACTTTTTATTTTTGTTTGTGTTTTGATAAAAGCAATTTTTTGAATGCTTAGAATTTGGTTTGGCTTGTGGAAGACCTATTATCTGAGATCACCTTCTGTGACCTCTGTGTTGAACATCACTGCGTGTGAAATGTCATAAGAAGCTGCACTGAAAGATCAAGACTCCAGGCTGGAGAGAGAAAGGCTGAGAGTAGATGGGCTTGAAGTGTGTGAAATCATGAATTCTTTACCAAACACACACTGAACGTCACTGTGTCAAGTTCTGTGAGGGCCAAAAGACAAAGAATCCAAGTACATGGAAAGCAAAACTAAGAATACTTTGAAAGCGTTGCTCTAAGTGGGAGGTGGTGCACTTAGAAAATCGAATCCCCTGAAAATTGGAGCAGATTCACAAAAGGTATAGAGAAAGAAATGGATCCCCACCAAAACTAGTATATCTGGGGAGGTCCGACATCGCTATGCTGACCCCAGGGAGGACAAGTCTGTTCCTTGATCACCACACTCATCAACCCCATCAGGGCGAAGTCTGCATTGACCCAGAGATGAAAATCCTGGAGTTCACCTGGTTTCCGCACTTTTCATTTCTGTGAACTTCTAAACACTGGGAACTCCCTCTCTTCATGTCAGCTGAATTCCACAGATGAGGTTTATCAAATACTCACTACCGGCCTCCAGGGCTTATTTGGCTCAGTTTGTAGGATGCTCTCCTTTCATTTCTTTGTGTAGCAGTTTCTTTTACTGTGGTCCAAATTCTAAAGTACTCCTTTTTCCTTGAGACTCTAATTAATTTTGATTGGGTTATACTTACATTGGGAGTCGAAAAGTAAAGAGCAACAAGGGCTTTCGCGGGCCTGTGTGTTAGGTACCTATTAAGGCACTGGCGTATCTTATCCCTTTGCGGTCGTTTGTCTGCTCTCAGCCACCAAAGCTTTTTTACTGTTCCGGTCGTATGTCTGCTCTCAGCCACCAAAGTTTTACCGTTCCGGTCGTATGTCTGCTCTCAGCCACCACAGCAAGGAACCGTATGAACCTTAACTCTATTCATGTATCAGTTCATAATTTCTCTGAAAGCTCTTAATTCCGACCAGTACGACACCCAGTCCAAATTTAATACGACTGCAAAGGGTTATATGTATGTATTTCCGCTTCCTTCACCAACTGGCCAGTAAGCCAGCCAAGCAACCAGCTGGCCAGCCAAGCAACACGTGAACCAACACACTCACACACACTCCCTAAACAACTCGTTTTATAAACCCTTCACTGGGGAGGTTTAAGGGGTATTTAATTTTCACTGAGATTAAAAGCTAAATTTAAAATACCGGGCCGGAAAAATAATTCCTCTTGCCATTAGTTGCGGGGCGTGGTTTTGCTCCCATAAGGAGTGTTGGTAGAGTGCGGGGATGCTGATGAGGCCCATCTTCTAATACTGTCTGTGAGACTGACAAGGAGGTGGCACATGTCCAGCCTATTTTAAGCTTTATTCTTCAGAGATAGGGATGTGAGTGATTTCAGATCACATAAAGCCATCCGGGGCTAGCAAGATCTGCAGATTCAATTGACTTTTATTTGCGGGGGAAGGAGGAAGAGGAATATTGTTGTACCCAGATTTCCAAAATTCGGTACCCAAAGTTGTGGCCATAATTTGTTCCAATGGCCACATCTATTGATGTGCTTACTGACAGCATTTTCATTAGCACTTAAAACACAATTGAAGGCACAGTTTTTGGGTAAAAAAAGAAATGAAACTGGATTGAGAGAGCCACGTCCAGGGTTTAAAATTTTCACCAGTATTCCTTTTTAGAGCAAGCAAAAAATATACACAATAATATATTTATAGTTATATCTATGTCTATATCTGATTATATCTGATAAGGTTAGGCAGCGATGCAGGGTGGGTGGGGGTGGAGGTGGGAAGAACAACACATGACAGCTCGAGTCCCCATGCCACCACCTCCATCAGGGAAACACTGGGCTCAGGCACCCAGACAGCATGTTTAGCTTGGAGCCCATTTTTACATTTGTGATAAAATAAACAAATCCCTGGAAATTAGTGCATATAATGAAAGCAGTGACAGACCATAACTTGGAAGTGTGAATGGTGCTGTCTCCATTTATCAGCGTTAAGCCCTAACAAGCTCTTTCTATGGAGGGACCTGCTCGGAAGTAAAGTGCATCTTGTAAAAAAAAATTATTCACAATGTCTTATGCAAAGTAGGGGACATTATATAATATCTGAACTGCAGGCTCTTTTCTCCGTGAAGCATAGCTCTGTATGAAACAGCTGCAAATTACAGGCCAAACTATTTGACTTCGTCCCTTGTCTTATTATCTGCTAATGAATAAATGCTATAATCCTTAAGGAGACAATCACCTGAAGCTGGGGCAGCCGGGGTGGTTACTAATAAATTTATCACCTGTTGGGGGAGAGGATGCCGCTGATCAATACTGAAGCAGCAGTGGCATCCTGATGTGGGGTCACTGGGAGTCCAGATGTGGAGGTTAATAGC